TAGCACAACAACGTCGTTGTATTGTTTTTAAATTTGGTGCACAAAGAATTGAGCGTTTATAATTAATTGGTAGTCTTAATGATCAAGTAAATTATGTTTTTTTTCCGTTTAATGAAAAAAATAAAAAATTGTTTTAGTGTCAAGATACAATGGTACAATTTTTTTTTTGCATTTTTATCAAATGTATTAACAACAGAAAATTTTCATCATAAATTTCCTTCAATTGATGATCTTGTACTTGATTTTCATTTACAAGTTGATGCTGCTTTTCAAATATCAAGACCATTATTTAATCTTAATATTCAAGTAAATGATTATATATATATGTATATTGAAAATATGATAAAATTTATTTTTATTAGGCGAAATTTGATGAACTTTGATCAACAGCTCCAAAATCATCGAATAAGAGTGCATTGGTAAATATGAGGTTCTTTCTTTTATATGATGAAGAAGAGTATCAATCTTGAGATGATAAAACAAGACTTTAATATAATTAAAAATTAAATCAAACAAATTTCAAAAGTACAGAATCCTTCGTCAAAATAAATCTTGCCCGGCACTAGAGCCCATCGAATTAGTCTCCAGTCCAAATCCGATGGACTTTACGTAGTACTTGTTTATTTCATAAACGATTCATCCCAACTCAACTAAGATATAGAATTAGAACATTAGACAAAAGATTTAACACTTCGGCATCTGCCCAATAAAGAAAAAAAACTATTTGATTAGAGTTTCATTAAGCATCATATTCTTGTCCATAGCAAATTGTTTAGTGTCCCAATGATGTTTTTTTCCCGTTTTTAATAAACGATTTATCTACACTTATTGTATTTATCTAGATACAAAATTATATTGATGCAGTTACAGTTGTTATGTCGACTGTACTTGATTTTGTTAAAACTCTTCATCCACAACGAACATGAGAAGAAATGACGAATGTGAATGTTTTGTTTTTTTTCTCCTATCATTATCTATGAATTTCTTTAGACCACAATTTTATTTAACATTTTGCTCATTATCAATGTCGGATTTACAAGTACCAGAAATAGCATATAAACGACCTATTGAAGAACTTGAACTTGAAATGACACATATTGATGAACGAAAAGAATTAGTTTGTTTAAATGAACAAAATAACATATAAGCATTTATCCTCTTTTTTTCCTATAGACAGCAGCAAAAAAACGTAAAGAAAAAGAAAAAATTCATATTATTATAGATAAACTTAAAGAAGAATTATTTTAGCAAAAAGAACATGTTGAACGAGTACGTGCACGACTTTATATAGAGTGAACATTGGTTTAAAAATCGTATGTTAAATTTAAATCTTTTTTTCTTTATAAACATCGGTTAGACAAAAAAAAACGTTTGTTTTTTGTTTGCAGGAAATAAAACCAAAGCTGAACTATAACTGAATTTCTTCAATTATGTATTTTTCCACGATGTCTATTAAGTGAAATCGATGCACTTTATTGTGCACATTTTTATACGTGTTATACATGATTTAGTAACACCAAATTTTAGTACAATTATTTGTTATGATCGACTAATTTATGATATATCATATTCACTTGCTTCATGTTTAGAAAATGAAGCTATACGTTATGGAAGATTTCTTGAATCATTATTAGAATCTGTTATGAGTTGGCATGGAGATAAGAACAAATTTGATAAGGTAATTTAATATTATTCAAAACACAAGAACAAGAAAAACAAAAACTATTAGGAAATATTTTAAATCATATGAAATTTTCAGAATATGTTAGGACACACGCCCTTTTGAATAAAAAAAAAGTAACAATTGGCTACAAAGAAGCTCCTTAGAGAATCCTTAGTTTTTTTTTGGGAGGGGACAAACCTTAATTAAAATCGATAATATTTTCATTGTCTAAGTCTATTTAACAAAGATGATGATGATCGATTTTGATGAATAATTATTATTCATCGAGTTACTAAAATTTGAATTTTGTCAAAAAGAAAAAATAAGTGTCACAGTTATCGTTGTCTCTACTAAACTATATATGTTTCGTTTGTGGGCCGAATTTTTTTTCAAACTAAGATTAAACATATCAAAAGACTTTTTTTAATTATTATAATATTATTTAACAAAAAACAAAACCATTTCTAGGAATGTGCAACACATTCAGGTTTTCTTACTGTTTTTCATAATGCTGGTAATGCAGCAACGAAAACAACAGGTACAACACAAACATCTGAACAACTTGATTATGATAATTTTCGTCATGTATATCATAAATGGCATTATAAATTAGCGAAAAGTTTTATTGTTTGTCTTGATTCAAATGATTATATACAAATACGTAATGTATTACAAGTCTTGACTGTTCTTTTGCCTATATATCAAAAAATGACAACATTTTATGCTGTACTTGAACGACGTATTAAAGCTATATGTGCAGCTGAAAAAGATCGGCGTCATGATTTTTTTGCATTAGCTAAATGTTATAGCGATTGTTTAGCACATAAAAATCGTGATACGATTGAAGGATGTCAATTTCATTCTGTTTGAGAACGGCAAACACAAGCATCAACCAGTAATAATAATAATAATAACAATAGTTTTTAAATTTAATTATTTGCTTTTTTTTTTATGCACGGCCAACAAGTGATAAGCCTATGAATATTGGGACAACAAACAATGGACCGACAACAGCACACAAATCAGCTTCAACAGCACCATTATCTCAACCAACTGCACCAACATCTCGATCAGCAACAATAACTAATATTAGTATGATGCAATATTGCCATCGGTGTCCATTCAAGTCGGTTCTTATTCTCTATATATATACGTGTAGAACGATCAACAAGCAAAGTCAAAAGAGAACCTGTGATCACCAACAGCGGCAGTAATAGGACTGCAACGATCTCATCGACAAAATCGAATCGAATACCACATGGTCCATTGTTGCCTTCATCGACGACACAGAATAAAACTGAATCAAATGAATCATCGACATTGACGACTGGACGTACAATTAAATTGTCGAATAATCCAAATGATTGTCATTGAGTCATCACAAGCATAGATTGTATCAACACCACATGAAAGTTTGCCAACAAATAAAAAAGATACATTGACAACGATCGATAGGTATGCATCTATAAAAAAGAAACATAGAAGAATTAAATCTTGTCTTTTTTTTTATAAAGACGGCCTACGTCATCAACGACCGAACAACAAATATCGTCCAATGAAACATCTGCGCACCTGTTTCACGTCCTACTTCATCACATACTGTTACAACATCTACACGTAGTAGTACTTCCTCCGCCGTCACTAATAATGATGATTTGATTCGAAGGTAAACGAGACTTCTTTTTTGTTATCTATTCATCTTAAATTATTATTGTCTTCTTTTTTTAGATCGGATCAAACGGCGACGAATGGAATGAATAATACATCAACGAAAACTCTACGAACAGAGTCACCTCATGAACATGGTCTTGTCTTTTTTCATAGTTTTATATTTTATTAGAATTTAGTTTGTCTTTTTTTTTTCTATTTGTTTTTAGTACCAGCAGAAAAACGGTCACGTGGTGGTTCTTCAAAGGTAAAAGTATGATAAAAAACAGAAAATACTTTTTTGAATAACTTTCGATCGGAGAGCAAGGTAATGATCTGTGGGATTTTACTATTCAACAGAGAACATCAGAAACCATAAGATTCGTTCGAAAAAATTGTTTTCTGTCTATATCATGCAAAGCGAATATCTCTAACTTGTTCTGTTCAAGAGCTAAAAGTGTTCTCAGGGATTTTGATTTCCGTCTAATGGCTTTGGAACAACTCATTACGCTGGATGAAGCAATAATATTAATTTTCAGTTTCATAATGATCTAAAATCATTATAACAAAATTTTTCAAAAATGAATTACTCTCATCATGACATCTTTTGCCTTGCCCAAAGGTTATTACACTGAAATTGGACTCTCTGAAAAATACTTGTAGCTCTTGAACAGAACAAATTAGAGACGTCGGCTTTGCATCATATAGATTGGTCTTCTAGTGAGAGTTATTCAAAAACAAAATATTGATCTGTCTTATATTTTTATCATTGATAATGTGTATTGAATAGTTGGTTGATGGTATATAACACCAATAGATGTTTATATTCTGGCTATGTGCTAATACATTCGAAATAGAATTTAATGAATTTTTATTTTTCGGGTGATTGTAGTACTACATCGCAAGTAGAAGAATCACGCAATGGTAGTTCACGTAGTACACATCGTGAACATAAATATGTATATATAATATTGATTAATTTCTTATTTGATTAGATAATTAATTCATCGTTTAGGAATCAAATAAACGTACGCCTTCGTCAAACCTGAAAAACGTTCAGCAAACGGTGGTACTAGTGGTAGTTCATCTCGTCGATTAAATCAAACAGTTGAATCTACTTTATCAACAACATCTGTACATCAAGATAATGAACATAGGAGTGGATCAGGTATTATGGATGTATCTCCATCAAGTCTATCATCGAAAAGAATTAAAACAAGTAATACAGTTTCAAATGGACGATCAACACGAAAAGTAAACTAAGAAGTATTAGTCACGATTAAGAATTATTAATTTATTTAAAATTATTAAGGAAGCACGTGAAGATCGACATACAAGTTCATCATCTTCACTTAGAGTATCGTCATCATCTTGTAGTGATTGTCGAGATAAATAGTAAATAATGTTGGTTTTTTTTGTGTACATTTTTCTTTTTATTTTATTTTAGTCATACAAGCAAAGTCACCAAGTGAAAAGTTTTTCTTTTTCTATGTCGATCTATTTTTGTTTCTCTATTTCTCTTTTGTCAATATATCTTTTGTTTGTCGTCTTTGCAAAACAAAGAAAACCAAGAAATAAATTTATGTGTATTTGTCTGTGTGATGATCAAAGGATATGAACATCTGACAAAAAAACACTAATTCAAGAACATTCGTTTTGCTTATTTTGTCCATTGTTCTCTCAATTTTGTAGAGAGCATGGCCCAAATTAGAACGGACTTTTCACACCTTCGTCTTTTCACTCTAGTATCTCAGGCAAACAGTGAGAAAATGAGCTCAAATTTAATGACCAAGTAGATCAGTGTCTTGGCTATCTATTGATGAAAAGATTTTTTAAAGAGGTTGAAAAATAATGGAGTTATATAAGTGATAGAGTGAAGTCGAATGATCGCGTTCTAATTAAGTGCAATGTTTTCAATAAGAACGGCAATGTAAAATATGACCCAAATTAGAACGCTTCTATGTAAAACACATGTAAATCATGCCTTTTCACAAATTTTCTTTTTTTTTACTACTTGATTTCAAAATTGACTTTTCCTTCTGATAGAAAAGTTGTTCAATTCGATTTTCTCTACAACATATCAGCGGTTGAATTAGATCTGAGAAGATTTTCACCATCTATTGAATTTATTTTTCAAATACTATAATACGTCGACCGTTATGAGGGTCCAAGCTAGTAAAAGCAAAGAAAACTGTCTCAGTAATCGGATAACACTATCGAAAGATTATCAAACATCTTTCAAGCCATGAAATACTCCGTTGAGAGTGATATAAACTCCATTTTCCCATTATATGTCTAAA